ACAAAAAAAAAAAAAAAAAAAGCGGCACCTCTTTGGCAAACTGTTAGCCTGGGTCTCGCGTGTTTCCTTCGTCCGTGCGCCCCTACAGTGACAGGCTGCAAGAGCTAAGATAAGTTTGAAGAAAAAGGTGTGGAGGCTGGCTGGTTAGCTCAGCTGGTTAGAGTGTGGTGCTGATAACACCAAGGCCAGGGTTTGATCCCTGTACTAGCCAGCTGCCAAAAAAAAAAAGAAAGAATAGAAAAAGATGTGGAGACTAGAAGGTGTGGGTATTAGCCCTACCAGATACCAAAAGGCATGATAAAGTCGTAGTAACTAAGACAGAATATCACTGGTGTAAATATGGAAAATGATGCCATTGGAGAAGAATGGAGAGCCCAGAAACAAATCCATGTAAAACTTGGCCTCCTTAGCTAGGTCTCTGTCAGCTGCCTTCTATATCTCAACAACAGCATGTTAATTTTCTACCAGTGCTCAATTTAGACATCTGCATATGACCTACTCACATATCATCATCATCAGATTCTGGTTCTAGTTGTTCCTCATCTACTTCAATGCCAGAGGCCATTTCCACCTCCTCCTCCTCTTCTTTAGGAAGCTGTTGTTTTAATGGTCCCACTGTTGAAGAAACGACAAAGAGAGAGATTAAAGCATCTCAGCCGATACACCCGAGGAGAGGTATACACCAAAAGTCCTATAGCGAACGTCAACCATGTGGTAAAAACCTTCCAGTCATTTCCATTAAAACAGAGAATAAGACAGGAATGACAACTAACAGCCAGCTATAAAGCACTATACTGAAAGTAGTAGGCAACACAAGAAAGGCAAGTGACAGGAATAAGGATCAGACGAAGAGACAAAACATCACCCCTGCTTTGGGGGTAGATGCTTTGATTGTATAGAAAATTTAAGAAAATATTGTGTGTAAAACTTAAGACTTGCCAAATTGGACCACCCTTATTCTCCACTGTTTCTATAAAAATTCTACCTCTTATAAGATACCATTTTATATGCCAATCACAGAGAAAATGCTCCCAGTAAAATGATGCAATGTTTTATTAGCCCTTAGAATTTATAATCTATAATTTAAATTATTGTAAGAACCCTCTTAGTCCTTTCTAATCATTCATTTTAAATCTTATATCATTCTTGTACATTCATAAAAAGGAAAAGTGAAATAAATTGTATAAGATGTAACTAAAAGTCCTCACATTCAGAGTGTTACTCCTCTAAATCACGTTTTTCTGTTTGTTTGACATATCAACTGAGCATTTTTGGATCCTGATTCAACCAAAGAGACCATTATAAAATTATTTACAAGACCACGAGGAAATTTTAAATTAGTTTTTGAATCACTGATGTCTGTTTTCTTTTTTAAATTGTGGAATCTGAACTGTTTTCACTCATACTTCTGGCACCAAAAATACTTTACATACATTAGCTCACTTAATATTTAAAGCAATCCTTTGAGGTTGGTGCTATCATAACTCTGATTTTACAAATGAGAGAGATAAAGATAGAATTGATTATTTTATTGGGAGTATCAGAGCCAGAAGTTATAACAGATGTGTCTGAGTACAGTATTCATTCTTAACCATTATCCAATGTGGCCTGCCAATATACTGCAAAGAGGGAATCTGATTTTTAAAAATCTGCATGTATTCCAAATGTAAATGTTTAGATTTTCTGCATCATTTCCCCTTCATTAGCAACGTAACATTCTTTAAAAGTTTTAACAGAAGAGATTTATACTATCATAGTATAAAAATCCTTAAAATCAAGCAATGATACAGGTATAGGAAATGATATTTATGTATTAATGAAGAAGAAATAGCTTAGGAGTGGATCCAAGTTTATACAAGGATTAAGTAAATTATATAGCAGGCATTTTGACCTAATAAGAAAATCCATTATTCAATAAATAGTCCTAGAAAACTAACTATTTAGAGAAAAAAATTAAAACTAGTTCCCATATCATACTATATGATGGATTTTGGACGTGATTGGTGCCATTGTGTGCACAATAAGCCCAAAATAGCCGCCAGCCTCATCTTCCACTCCAGCACCAAGCCCCTCCTCGCTTCCCTTTATGAGAAGACTCCTGATTTAAACAGAAACCCCTTTTGCTTCCACAAGGACACAGTTCTCCACCCCGATCCACATTAGCATAATGCCCCTCCTTGGTTGTATCAGTCCATATAAGCTCTCCCATCCCCCACATCTAGTGCTGTCCCCCATTTTGAGGGCAGCCCTGGGCTGCCCCCTCACTTTGGGCACAGCTCGGCAGATTCTTTTCCTTTAATAAAGCTTGAACGGTACCTGGCATCTCAGCTCACTTTCCTTCACTATACTCCAAAATTAAATACCAAAGGATTAAAGACTGAAATGTGAAAAGAGAAAACACAACAAGAATTAGAAAGTAAAAGTGAATTTTTTTAGATCTCAAGTTAGGAAAAGCCATTCTAAGCATTCTAGCAATCCACAAAGGAAAAGATTGCTATATCTGATTATCTATAACTTTAATATCTTGAATGACTGAATTAGAAAAACATAATTTCACAAATCCTAGTGAAATAATTGCTTCAGGCAAGAACAATCCATTGACGTAAAGCCAGTAAGTGAATGGTTGCTGGGGATTTGTACACTTGTATAGTTCCAAAGTAACACTGAACTGATTCCATTCCAGTCTTAAGAGGCAAAATGTAACTGTAGGTTCTCAGCCTAACACCTTCCTAAAGCAGTGGTTAGTCTTAGCCTTACTAATAGTGACTTAACACAGTATGTGTCTCCTGCTTTGATGCAACATAAAGTAAACATCATTACCTAGAATATATTTAGCAAAAAACCTTTAACTTCAAACCATCAAGCTTATAGACATAACTTTCAGTTTACAAAAAAACATGTGAGGGATATATTTTTATTTACAAAACAAAAAACAATTACACAAATTCAGAAAATGGAACATTTTGCAGGACAACACGGTAATATTTTCAACAATTCACTGTCATGAGAAAAGGTGGGGAAACTTGTGCTAGATTAAAAGAGACTTAAGTGAAGTATTAACCACATGAAATGCTGGGCCTTAAGAGGATACTGCTTTGAATTATCAGGTATAAAGAACATTTTGGGGGACACTTGGGGAAGCTGGAATATGGCCTGAGTATTAAATAAGATGAAAATTTACTGAATTAAGACCTTCTGGCCCAGCTTATGAAAAACACTGGTACATGTTTCACATACACTTGAAAAGTAGATATTCTCTGCCTCAGTTGGGTGTAATGTTCCAAATATGTCAATCATGTCAAGTTTACCAATTCTATCATTCAAAATTTCTACATCCTTGTTGATTTTGTCTGTTCAATCAACTACTGAAGGGATATGTTATATTCTTCCACTATGTAGAGGATTTGTCTATTTCTCCAATAGAAGATTGTTACATCTTTCTGGTAGATTGATGCTTTCTTCATTATGAAAAGTCTTCATCTCTAGTTATGCTACTTTAAAATTAATTTTTCTTTCGATTAGTGTTTGCATTTTTTCCATCCATTTACCCTGTACCTTTCTGTGTACTTAAAAAGTGTCTTTCTAGGGCTGGCCCGGTGGCGCACTGCTACAGTGCGCCGCTTGGGAGCATGGCGACGCTCCTGCCGAGGGTTCGGATCCCACATACAGACCAG